CTTGCCTAAAACAAGTGCTAACGGTTGATTATTGAAGTTACTGCTAACCCTCCAGATTAGAATGCTATTTGCAAATGTATTACTAATCTTTTTATATAGTCCTTACTTGTAAAATAATCTCATGTTGATAAATTAGTAACTAAGGAAAAGCCTTAGCTAAGGATAACATAGCTCTATTCAGTGGACTCCCACAATGTTAAGTCTATGCTCATTCAAACTTGGACTCTAGGAAAGAATCCCCTATGTAAGGATTAAGTTTTTTGTCCTGTAATAATTCTCATCATCTGGTACCCACTATGCATTCAAATTTAGTTGGCAGGAAAAGAGGCAGCATTTTGTAATCATAAAGGGCTTGAAGGTAATTTGATTAAGACTAACTCCCAGCTTTTTGATTCAGGGTTTTTCACTGGAAAATGATTATCTGGAAGAAGACAGTATATAAGAGCAGTCATAAAATTTAGAATAAAGAAATACTATACCATGAAGTTTTTATAAATGTGAAAAAAACTGAAGATAGGGCTTTTTAAGAAATGTATCTCAAAACAAATGTAGCAGATTTCATGACAAAAATTTACTAAAAATTTCTATAAAATACTGATGAAACGTAAAGTTGGTTGTTATGTAAACATGATTTTGTACCTAATTGCAAGTATTTCTGAAAGAAGATAAAATGTTCAGTTTGACTGATGTTTAAAGATAGGTGCTCTTGGGTGCATAATTTTTTCCAAAACCAAATTTATTACGTCTTGGAAATATAAAATGATTATGAATTGCTTTTAAAATTGAAAATGAAGCATTTTATATTACGAAGTTTAAGTCAAGTGACCCTTTGAAAATAAACTGTTTTAATGCTCTCTGACATATCCTTAAATAGGTATAATCAGAAAGTAAATCATAAATCCTACTCATAATATAAATACTAAACTCCTAGCCCAAATCCTGAAAAATATACACTGTGCAGCCTACCTGGTCTATTCTGGATGTTCCGGCTGCAGTGCACCAACTATCTTGGAGTGAATCTGAGCCCCAAGCTGGCAACTGCAAACTAGATCTCACCTTCAATAGCATAGAAGTTTTCATCAGAAATAAGCAGTTCTCTTCCCCATACCCACCCACAAAAAAAGAAAAAAAGAAAGAAAGAAAAGAAAAGAAAAAAACAATTAAAAGTTCTTTCTATCTTTTATCTTCATTTTGTCCCCTAAAGGTTTTAGAAAAAAAAAAAAATGACCACCTTATTTTAAATAACCATAAGGGAATTCCATTAACCTGTAATATCAACAAAATACTAAAAGACCTGGAAAAAAAAGTCTAATCGCCATAACTATTAGGCCACATTTAGGAAAAAACAGTCATTGGACGAGTGAAGACAAATTTTAATTCGATGTTAAAAGCCCTAATATTATTTTGCCAAAAATCACAGCTGTACTAAGTATATTCTAATATACATACAGCTAACCATAGTCAAATCTATGCACGATTATAAACATTTTAGTTTAGCTATATTACAGGAGAAACTATTTTGGTGGCCTATTAAAGATTAATAAAGGCATTCTTAAGGAGCTGCCAAAAAAAGCTTCAATATGTATTTAAGAAACACGGCAAGTTTTTCTACATTTTATGAATCTTATTTTCTATTGTGTGTTTAGAGAATTTCTTATAGTCTCAATTTTCTCTGTATAGGTATTTTATCCTTTGATAATTAAATTACATGCTTAAAAACTAGAACTTTCCCTTTTTAAATCTGTTAATTTTACCATACTACTACCACCACCCAATTTCCTATTTTGAAAGGTTAACATTAGAAATAAGGCAATTTACATACCATTCTTACCTGTAAGGGTAAGAGTGTATTACTATTGTTGTCTGTTCTGAACACATTATCTTCAATCCAAGATTTTGGAGTCAGTGATGGAGTAGAGCGAGTAAATTTCGGTGGTGCTATGACATTACCAGAAAATGGTTTCTTCAATGGAGATATCTGATTCATAGTTCCTGGAATTCCCATGTTTCCAGTTCTACGATGATCTCTGCCATGCATTGCTCCCCAGGACATACTTCCAGTGCCCCAGCCACTGCTCTGATGGTTGCTCCAAGGAGATTGTTTCAGAAGAGGCTGGAGAAAACAGATCTATTTAAATTATAAGCATTTAAAGCGTTGATAATTCAAATTCAAATTTTAGACCTGAGCTAAGAATTTATATGATCTTTAAAAAATGAAATATATAAGGGCAAAGAATATATCTTAACTAGTTTATAAAAAGTAATAGGCTTCAGATTTTGCTATATGAAAACATTCACTTAATGCTAGGCAAGTTTTCATCCTCTGTGTACTACAAATTATAACAAATCAAACAGATATTTCACGACAATTACTAAAATAGAACCATGTAGTAACTTCTTTTCCTTTTAGAGGGAACCGGATACAGGATAAACATGAAGAAAAAAATAAATACTTTTAAATTGAAATTAACTTTGAAGATCCTTCAAGATAAAACCTACACTGTGATCCTAAAGCAATCATATTCTGCCAGGCACCAAATTAAAAACACAGTCTTTATTAATTAAATTATCCCATCCAGATGAGTGAAATATTTAGACTTTAGGTTTCTAAAACAAGTTGTACCACTGCAAAAGTGGATAATGATAACATTTGGTGTCACTCTGCTGCACAAATTAAAAATGCCTTTTGGGATAAGGACAATAATAGGAAATGTCTCTTTTGGAATTGTTTTTTCAACTCAAGATATTTTATTCAAGTTTTAGTATAGTTTCTTTTAAAGTACTTCTGTTTTTTATTTCACTTAATTATCCATGAACTGTTAAGCAATTATCTAATGTTACCTATAGGTGGATCCACTGATACACAAAGATAAACAACTATGTGCTTTGATACTGTAGTAAAGATCTTAATAATACAAGTCTTCATTAACTCCATTCATTTTCAAAAGTAAATTATATTCCAAACTAGAACCTACAGCAAAAAAGTTAAGTCATCAAAGAATGGAAAATCCACCAAAAGGCTATAATTGTACATTTTTTTAAAGTATTAATTGCCAGCAATTATATTATCAATAAACTTACACTTTAATAATTTTGTGCTAACGTTTAGCCAAAGGAAGTATGGACCACGCAGTCACTATAAGTTAATAAATATAGTACTCTTCAAATGAGACCTGCTTCTTACAAGACAATTTTCTTAAAAACTCTAGTCTGTAGTACGTATTTTTTTAAAAAATTTCAAATGCTAATATAATCATGAATATATACTACCATTTCACCCTCCACATAATTCAAAGCATAGCTAAGGGACCATGGACAAATCACTTCATTCTTGAGGGCCTTACTTTCCTCACTGATAGTGTTCAAAGTTCTCTTCCAGTGATCTAAAATTCCATATGACAGCTGTGTGACCTCTTACACTCCACTGCGAGACCCATCTTTTGACAAAAAGCAGATTATAGATAAATATACTTAAATATGGATCACGATACATGGTCTTTTAACCGTCTACACCATGGCTTTAACAATACAAAAATACCTACAGATAATTTTCTGTGGCAAATTTCTAGTTAAAAAATGAAGACCCTCACCCACAAAAGATAGTTTCCCAAGATTACATAAATCATGAAAAACTGGAATTATTACAAAATCACCTATTTACAATCCTTATAGGCCTATTCTCCTTTCTCAGGGAGAAACCAGTGATTCAACAAAAACTGTTAACTGTTATTCTGGTTAATTTAAATAAACTGTTAACTGTTACTTTGATTAATTTAGATAGTATTCAGCTTTTAAAAAGGTTAACCCTTGAAAACTTTGACTGGTCAACGCAAAAAGTTATATGAGTAAGCACGCACTGGTTCAGGTCCAGTTTTGCTTCTCTCTCAATCCCTAATCACGAAAACGGCCTTAAACAAAATGATCACTATAATAAATGCTGACCAGATCAAAAAAGGACAAGACACTCTTTCAATGTCAGTTAACCAAGCCAGCGGTCACTCAAACGTTGTAGTGAGGGCATAACAAAACAGAGCTTGAATCAAAAAGGACCCGGATGAATAAAAAACAACCCTGCCCGGTGTTATTTCATGATTACATTACTTAAAACATAGACACCCCACAATTCAAGAAAAGGTTAAGACCACCAAAAAATGTACTAGCGTCTTCTCTTCAAGGTAACACACTAACCCCAGTTCAAGTATAGTTTTGCTTGAAAACCCAGAACATATCACCCAAATATTAAAAACCGCAGAAACTGAATCTTAGAGAGTGTCAGTTTCCGCACTTTCTTTTCGCGAGTCCTTTGACAGCTCGGAGCACCGAGCCCAGGAGGGAGGAAGGTCGGCGGGAGCGCGCCGGGCGGCTCCTCCGCCGACACCGGCTCCCCGGGCAGAGCCGGGCCGGGCTGGGCCGGCCACCGCTTGACCGGCGAGAGTCCTCGCTGGCCAAGTAAGCAGCAAACTCGAAAGCAAAAAGCCTTTCGGCCCGTGCCCTCCTCGGACGTCGAGGAAGAGTCACGGGCTCCCCACACACCCCGTCTGCGGTCCCCAAGTTCGCTTGCCCCCGCCGCCCCTCGGAGGCCGCCGCTCGAGCCCGCCGGCCCCGGCCCAGCCCGGCCTCACCGCGTCTCCCGGGCTCGAGGCGCTCCGACAGCGGCCCGCCCGGCCAGGGGCCGCCGGCTACAAGGGACGGGAGAGGCGCCGCGCCCGCCCGCGCCCCCGGGCCCGGCGCCATTCGGGCCCTGCCCCAGCCCCCACCGCCGCGCCGGGGCGTTCGAGGGGGCGCCCGGCCCGGGCTGCCAGCGCGAACTCGCCTCCGGAGCCTCAGCCCCCCGTGGCCCTGCCGCCCCGCCGGGACTGCTGTCCCGAGCTCTGTCACCCTGGTCCGCCCTCCCCGTCCCACGCTCACTGGGGCAGGCAGCCCTCATCGCCGTTTCTCGGGCCACTCCGGGCCGAGCCCGGTCTCCGGCCCCGCGGCGCCGCCGCCCGCCGTACCTGGTGGTGGTTGTAGGAGTTCCTCTGCTGCAGGAAGGCGGCGGCCGCCGCCTGGTGCTGCTGCTGGAGCTGCGGGCTGACGGGCGACCTCCGGCTCTGCGGCTGCTGTGGCGCCGCGGGCGGCGGGGGCTGCTGCTGAGGTAAATTCATGGCGGGCGGCGGCGGCGGGGGCACCGCGGCCGCCGAGAAGGGGCCGCCGAAGCCGCCGCCGCCGCCGCCGCCGCCGCTCGCTGGCACGCTGAGTCCCGCGCAGCCGTGCGGGGACACGGGCGAGAAGCTCGGGAAGAAGGCCGGGTTCATGGACGACGGCAGCCCGGGGTAGAAGCCGTTCTCCGAGTCGGGGCTGGGCGGCGGCATGGCGCTGAGCGAGCCGCCGCCGCCGCCGCCCGGGGTGGCAGTCGACGAGCCGGGCTGCGGCGGCTGCGGCGGCTGCTGGGCGGCGGCGGCGGCTGGGGCTGGGGCTGGGGCGGCGGCTGGGGCTGGGGCTGGGGCGGCGGCGACGCGGTCTGCACCGACCAGGGGGTGCCGAAGCCGGGCAGCGGCGGCGGCGGCGACGCGGAGCCGCCTCCCCCTCCGCCTCCGGGGGGCCCCCCGCCCCCGCTGCCGACGCCGCCGCCCGGGTGCGGAAGGTCCGGGCTCTGCAGGCTGCTGAAGGCGCCGGAGCCGAGCGCCCCGCCGGGCAGGAGGTTACTGGGACTGTTGAGCAGAGGGTGGTTGGGGGACTCCATGGAGCCCGGCGCGGGGTTCACCGGCGGCGTCGAGGGGGCCAAGCCCGCATTGGGGGGCTCGGCGGCGCTGCCCTCACCCGCGGCCGGGCTCTTGCGAGGGCTGCCCGCGCCTCCGTGGCGGCGCCGCGGGGCTGCGGGCGGCGAAGGCTGGAGCTGCGGGAGTGGGGTCAGGTCGGCCGGGCGCTGCCGCGGGGCGAAGTCCTGCGGCGGGAGGTGCTGCGGATGCGGGAGGCTGAACTGCTGCTGCTGCTGCTGTTGCTGCTGCGGGCGCTGGGCGAGCTGCGCCGGCTGGAGGAGCGGGCTGGGCGGCGGCGGCGGGCTGAACCGGCCGGGGCAGTGGAGCGGCGGCGGCTTCGAGTCCGGAGGGTGGGGAAGGTGGGGAGGGCTGAACTCTTTCCTCTTCTGGCTGCTCAGCTGCTGCTGCTGCCGCTTACTGAAGTCCTGCGGGGAGGAGGTGCGGCAGCAGCAGCAGGAGGAGGCGGAGGAGGAGGAGGGGTGGTGCAGACTCGGTTTGAAGTCCTGGGAGGGGAGGAGGTGGGTCACACCCGCGTTCGTGCCGCCGCCGGGGTGGTGGTTGGGGAGTTTCTCCGCGGCCGCCGCCCCCGAGAGCGGCCGCGCCGGCTGCTGTGTCAGCCCCAGCAGCAGCTCATCCTGCATGGTCTGCTGATGCGCCAGGAACGGGGAGGAAGAGGAAGCGCCGGCGGCCGAGCTGCCCGCGCCGCCGCAGCCGAGGGGGATAGAGAAGGGGGAGGCGCCCTCCGAGAAGCCGGTGACAGGCAACGGCGGCGGCGAGAGCGGGCCGAAGGGCGTGGCGGAGGGCAGCGGGGCGGCGGCCGCGGCGGGCCCCCCGGCGGAGGCACAGTACGCCCCCCCACTGAACAGGGACCTGGGGCTGCTGCTTCGGAGCGGGGCTGTCCCCCGC